GGACCCAAAAGGTTGATTGGGACCCAGAGTGATAATGGGTGATGGGAATCAGTAGGGTGACAAGGACCCAACAGGGTGACAGGGATCGGGGGGTGACACGGACCCAACAGGGTGACAGGGACCAGCAAGATGTTGGGCACCCAGCAGGGTGACAAGGAGTAGGAGGGTGACAAGGACCCAACAGGGTGACAGGGACCAGGAGGATGATGGAGGCTGGCAGAGTGATGGTGACCGATAGAGTGACACGGGACCAGCAGGGTGACAGAGACCATCAGGGGATTGTGCCAGGGTGACCCTGGACCAGGGACAGACCAAGCAAGATGTGGAGGCAAGGTGACAGCGAGGTGTCACCAAACATCCCTGTGTCTTCTCCTGTGTCACTCCAGAAGATCATCTGAGCCCGGCAGCTGGTTCAGCTGGGACATTGGCTGTCACTGTCACCACTGAGACCCCTCTGAGGGCAGCACTTGCGGATTTGGGCATTGCTGAGAGGGGCGTGCCAGCCCTGGGGATGTCGCGCCGTGTCGTGACATCCCTACCGCTGCTCTGACCCGGGGACACCGATCCATCACACTTTCCCGGCCCCTGAGGGGTTAATCGTCGCCCGCCATCCCCCAAATGACGAAGAGCCGCTGTCCCCAGCAATTAGGTGCCATCTCCGGGTACACCGCAGCCCGGCCCGCTGACGTGGGGACGGGGCCCAGGCTGGCGGGCGGTTTGGCGCTGGCTGGCACCCAGCCCCGGAGCCGCAGCCGCTTCCCGGCCCCGCCGCCCCGTGGCACCTGGCCGGCAGCGATGTGTCAGCGGCAATTCCAGACACTGCGCTCCCYCTGCGCCCGGAGACCCCCAAAATGCTCTGGGGAAGGGCSTGGGTGACGTCCCCAGAACKGTCCCCTTGGTGGGTGTGGAGTCYCCTCCCCAGGAGCAGAACAGGGGGTGCAGGAGGAGGCATTCCCCTCCCCAAAGCAGCCGTRGGGAGGTCAGTTTGGGGTCAATTCGCATTTTGGGGTCAATTTGCACATTTTGATGCTGGGAGTTTCAAAACCTGAAATGGGGAAAGATTTCTGCGTCTCCAGAAGCCTCCGATCCCCTTTGTGGCTCTTCCCAAGGGGAAACTTCCCCAAATYCCCTGGGGACTTCCCGAGCCTGGGGAAGGGCGAGGGGGGCACAGCCGCTTTCGGGGTGTGTGGGGAAGTTTCGCCTCTGGCTGGGAATTGAGGAGAAAAACAATAAAAAAGGGGGGTTTACAGTTTATCTGCAGCCGGTGCCGTTCCCAGCTTACCCCGTGGGGTGACTGGGAGGAGCTGGGACAGGGCGGGGCGAGCGCTCTGGCCCCGCCAGGGCTGGCTATGGACGGACCGTGGGGCTCCCGTGCCCTGGGTGCTGCACCCCAAACCCTGCGGGTGCTGGGGACCCTCGAGAGGGACCCAGATGTGTGGGAGCAGCGGAACTGGGAGCGCTGTGRCACCCCAGTTCCGGGTCCCGTAGCTCCCAGTATGCGGTACTGGGTGGACTGGTTTCCTGCTCTGCACCCCAGTGTGACC